GTGGGACACTTGTCCCTGATTCCCGGGGGAGCAGAGCAGACTTTACTTGAAAATTATTATGTGAGTCTATTCTAACCTGTCTGGGGTTACCTGAAGGACTGACATCAAGTGCTTGTCTTTTTTTGGCTAACTCAGGACAGAGGCTGGAAAAATGGCAGGCATTGCTTGAAACCATTGCAGGGTGAACTAACAAACTGCAAACACCTGGGACAAAAGTTACTGGTTGAGAGATACAACAGGCTGTCTAATGCCCAGGAGCAATAGCTGGGGGAGATCTGTGGGAAATTCAGAAGCGCCTGTGTATATAGAGAAATTTAGAAAACCACTTGTTTGTTCAGGGCAGAACAGAGAAGACTCTAAACTTTCATCTCAGGCTGATCCTGAGGAGGCTGAAGGAATGCCCCAGCACTGCAGAGACTGGGGGAGGAATTTGTTTGTTTTTGGTGTCTCTCTGTGTGTTTCTTCTTTTTTGCTTCCCCCCACCCCTGGTGCTTTCTTTTCTGTTTTTTTCTTTTTCTCCCAGCACTTGAGGAAATCTCTGTCTAAACACTGGCTGAACACAAGTTATAAGAACAGAGACTCCTCAAGGAATGCAGTCTTTGCAAAAATACTTTGGAAAAATACCTAAACGGATGGACTACTGCCGCCTTCAAAAATGATGAAAACAACAACAAAAACAACAGAAAAGCCAGCAAACTGGAGGATTTTAGAGAATCTGATTTCCAGAGTCACCACATTATAATATTTAAATGTCCAGTTTTCAACAAAGTATCACAAGGCACACAAAGAAACAGAAACACATGACCCGTTGAATGAGGGAAAACAAGTGGACAGAAACCATCTCTGGAGAAACCCAGACATCAGATTTATTAGATAAAGACTTTAGAACAACTGTCTTAATGATGTCCAAAGAGTTAAAGGAAACATGGATGTAGAACTAAAGGAAATCAGAAAAACAATGTATGAACAAAATGAGAATATCAGTAACGAAATAGAAATTGTAACAAGTAATCAAATTCTGGAGCTGAAAAGTATAACTACAATAAAATATTCACTAGAAGGGCTCAACAGTAGATCTGAGCAGGCAGAAAAACAATCAGCAAACTTAAGATATGACAATTGAAATAATTTAGTCTGAAGAGAAGAAAGAAAAACGAATGAAGAGAATTGAAGATAGCCTTAGAGGCCCCTGAGACATTATCAAGCAGACCATCATATACCTATGGTAGTTCCAGAATGAGAAGAGAGAGAACAGCAGGAGAAATAATGACTGAACATGTCCTAAATTTGGTGAAAGACATGAATCTACAAATTCAAGAGCTCAATGAACTACAAGTAAGGTAAACTCAAGGAGACCCACAGGGAAGCACAATCAAACTGCCAAAAGTCAAAGACAAAGAGAGACTCTTGAAAGCAGCAAGAGAGAAGCAACTCATCACATACATACAAGGGATCCTCAATAAGACTGACAAGTATTTTCTCATCAAAAACCATGGAGACCAGAAGGCAGAAGGAAGATATATTTAAAGTGTGGAAAGAAAAAAAACCTGTTGATTAGGAATTCTATAGCCAGCAAAACTGTCCTTCAAAAAGGAGGGAAATAGTAAGAAATTTCCAGATAACAAAAGCTAAAGGGGTTCATTGCCATTAGACCTGCTCAACAAGAAATGCTAATGGGTGTCCTTCAGGTTGAAATGAAAGGACATTAGAGAGTAACTTGAAGTCATATGAGGAAATAATTCAGTAATGGTAAATAGATCGGCAAATATAAAAACCAGTATTATTCTATTTTTGGTTTATAGCTCTACTTTTTTATTTTCTATATGACTGAAAAGACAAATGCGTAACATTTATAATTTATAAATTATAAATCTATGTTCCTTGAGTGCATAGGGTAAAAAGATGTAATTTGTGACAGCAATAACAAAGGAGCTGTAAAGGAGCAGAGTTTTTATATTCTTTTGAAGTTAAATCGGTATTAATTCAAATCAGATTGTCATAACTTTAGAATGGCACATGTAGTCCCCATGGCAACCACAAAGGAAATGTCAATAAAATAAACACAAAAGGAATCAAAACAGTTAAGTACAAAAAAAATTGATAAAACACAAAAGAAGGCAGTAAGGAGGCAGTGATGTACCAAAAAAAAAGACATATAGAAAATGAATAACAAAATGGCAGAACTAAGTCTTTATCAGTAATTGCTTTAAATCTAAATGGATTAAACCTTGTAATCAAAAGGTAGAGACTGGTAGAATGGATTTAAAAAGTTATCTAACTATATACTATTTGCAAGAGACTCACTTTAGACCCAAAGACACAAATAGGTTGAGGTGAAAGGATGGAAAAAGATATTCCATGCAAATAGTAACCAAAAGAGATCTGGGGTATTTATACTGTTAGACAAAATAGACTTTAAGTAAAAAACTCTTGTGAGACAAAAGAGGCATTATATATTGATAAAGCATCAATTCATCAGGAAATGCAATAATTTTAAACATATATGCACCAAACAACAGAGCCCCAAAATATATGAAACAAATTACAGAATGAAAAAAACGTATGAAACAAATGACAGAATAGAAGGAAGACGTGGTTCTCCATTATAGTTGGAGCCTTCAATACACCACTTTTAATAATGCAAGAACATCTAGACAGACAATCAATAAGGATATAGAGGCTTGACTAACACTATAAACCTACCAGACCTACAGACGTACATTGAACACCCCACCCAACAGCAGAATACATTTTTTTCTCTGGAACATTCTCCAAGAAAGACTACATGTTAGGCCACAAAAGAAATCTCAATAAATTTAAAAGATTGTAATCATACAAAGCATCATCTCCAACCACAATTCAATGGAGCTAGAAATGAAAACCGAAGGACGATGTACAAAATACGTAGAAACTAGGCAGCACACTCTTAGAGAAATAATGGATAAAAAAGAAATCTCAAGAGAAATGAGAAATATTTAGAGAGGAATGAAAAGGAAAACCCAACATCTCAGAACTTATGGGATGCAACTAAGGCAGGGCTCAGAGGAAATTTTATAGCTGTAAATACCTATTTTATTTTATTTTAATTTATGTTTTTAGAGAGGGAGAGAGAGTGGGGAGAGGGGCAGAGGGAGAGGGAGAGAGAGAATCTTGATCTCATGATCCTGAGATCATGACCTGAGCTGAAATCAAGCTTAACCGACTGAGCCACCCAGGTGCCCCTGTAAGTACCTATTTTTAAAATAGGAGAAAGATCTCAAAATCAGTAACTTTACACACTGATGAACCAGAAACAAAAAGCAAACTAAACCCAAAGCTAGCAGGAGTAAATAAAGATTAGAACAGAGATAAATAAAATAGAAAACGGAAAACCAATAGAAAGAATCAATAAAACAAAAATTTAGTTCTTTGAAAATATCAACAAAATTGTGGCAGAAAAAAAGAAGATAGAAATAACTAAAATTATAAATGAAAATGAGAACATTACTACCAAACATATGAAATAAAGGTGAATATGAGAGAATACTATGAACAATTGTATGCCAACAAATTGGATAACCTGGATAAAATGGTCCAATTCTTAGAAAAGCACAAATTACCCACACTGAGTCAAGAGATGGAATTAGTAACCAAAAACCTCCCAACAGAGAAAGTTCCAGGACCAGATGGCTTTACTGGTTAATTCTACCAACCATTTCAGGGAATTTAACACTAATCCTTCTCTGTTATGAAGAACAGAAGAGAACACTTCCTAATTCATTCTGTGAGGCCAGCATTATCCTGATACCAAAGCCAGATGAAGACATCACAGGAAAGAAAATTACAGATCAATATCACTTATAAATATAGATGTAAACATCCTCAACAATGCTGAGGTATAGATGTGAATCAAAACCACACCTACTAGGATGGCTACTATCAAAAAAATGGACAATGGCAAGTGTTGGTGAGGATGTGGAGAAATTGGAGCTCTCATACATCACTGTAGGAATGTAAAATGGTGCAGTGCTATGGAAAACAGCCTGGTGGTTCCTCAAGAAGCTAAACATAGAATTACCTCCTGACCAAGAAATTCTACTCCTAAGTATGTTCCTAAAGGAATGGAAAGCAGGGAGGAAAACAGATATTTGTCTGCTAATGTTCATGCAGCATCACTCACGTTGGCCAAGCGGTAGCAACAAACCCAAATGTCCATCAGTTGATGAATGGATAAACAAACTGTGACATATACATACAATGGAATATCATTCAGCCATATGTACAGTTCCTGCTTGAGATGATAAAAAGTTTCAGAAATGGTAAGTGGTGATGGTTGCCCGACATTGGGAACGTACTTAATGCCACTGAATTATATACTCAAAAATGGTTAAAATGGCCAATTTTGCATTATACATATTTTACCACAATTAAAAAAAATTAATGCAATGTACCCAAACCCATTGCATTGTATCCTTTAAATGGGTGAATTGTATGGTAGGTGAATTATACTTGATAAAGCTGTTTAAGAAAAACAATGACAATATTTATTTTGCTTTGAGTCCGCATTTTGGGGAGGGCTGAGTGGGCGCAGCTCATCTCTACTCCAGGCTTCAACTGGAAGGCTGGGGCTTGGAATCACCTGCACTGTGGGTCACTCGTGGCTGGTGGTTGATGCTGACTGTCTGCTGGTATGTGGCTGGGGCTGGGACACCTGTAGCCCATGGCTGCTTGGCTTTCTCATAGTACGGTGATGACATCCTGAGAGAGAGCTGGGCAAGAATGGTTACTTGGAGGTCAGGCAGCATTACCATTTGCTGCATATACTCATCAGAAGTAAGTCACGAAGGGTGATGTGATCCATGCTTGAGGGCAGGGTAATTATCCATCTGTCGATGGGAGGAGTGGCTAAAGAATTTGTGGGCATCTTTTGAAGCCACCACAGACTGCCCTTTATTCCTGTGTGTTTTTACCTTCTTTCCACATGCAAAATGTACTCATCCACTCTCAAAACCCTTCAACAGTGTCACATGCTATGGCACCAGGTTCCAGCTTGGTATCCAGGAGCTCCATGTCTAACTCAGGTGCTACTGCAGGTGAGGCTGCTCGGGTGGGATTCTCTGAGCACAGCTTCTAGGGTACGGTTTCTCTCGATGATGGATTGGAGCACTAGTGTACTGAAGATACAGCTTGTCAACCGCCACGATCCCAACATATGGTGGTGGGACAGGTGTAGGATCACTGCTACAGATACTTGTTCAGAAAGGGGGGGAGTGGGAGGCACATGGCAGCCACGGGTCCACGGCAATTTTGAAATGCAGCTGTGCTCCTGTCATGTGTTCCTCGGTTAGGAGCTGGAAGTGATTCTTCACAGCACTCAGCTCTGACCTGTGGGCTCCGGTTCTGTACTCTCAGGTGTCCTTCCTTGTCCATAAGCAGCAGTCTGAGTTTGGAGCCAAGTAGTTTCTCAGCCTACTTTCCACCCCTACATGTTTGGGAGTCTGAATGCCTCTTGTCGTCTTGTACTTACTGGCCTTGTTCTTTCCAACTTGACATAATTCTTTTAAAAACGTTTTGGGTTTTATATGAATGAATTTATAATCTTCTCCATCAGACAAAAGCTATGCCGACAGGTCTCTGCAAGAATAGTTTCTTTTTCCTGCTCCCTGTACGGCTCGCAGGGGGTGAGGGGTGGGGAACGATGCTCCTAAGATTCTTAACAGGGCTGTTTGACTATTTGAAAGGGTCTGTGATCCTCCTGAGATCTTAGAAAGGGTTTTATGGTTTATGTCGTTGGTCTCATCTTTGACCATATGTTCCAGGCAGCACTCTGGGTTTGATCTTTGCCTGGAAGCCAGCCATTTCTTAATCTTAGCGCTGTTGGTCATCTGAAGAGGCTGGAGATAAGGAACAGTGTTAATTTCAAGCCCAGCGAGTCCTGGCTTCTCTATAGAAAATCATTTCCTTAGCTTCTTTCTCTCTTCTTACATTGTACTGTGGCTAGTAAGGAGCAGCTGGGTGGTTTCTTCGGCCCCCTGCCTGGGAATGAATCTCCCTAACCAGACCGCGCAGCTCAGTAGGTACCCTTTGTATTTGCCATGTCACCTCAGGTGGGAGTTTTCAAACTTTCCTCCTTTGTTCCAGCTTCTGATAACATTTTCTTCTCTCTCCTGTAAATCCTCAGCAGCAGCCTCCTCAGGATCAGTTGTGCTTCTCCTGTGTCTTTAGGGCCCTTCCAGTTTCCATGGACCACCCAATCCCAAATCTGTGGCCACATGTTTTGGGCTTTCTTATGGGAGAACCTTACTATGGCTCCCAAATCCGCTCCTGCTCTCTATTGCTGTGTCACAAATGACCCCCCAATCTTAAGAATATTTTTTTAAAGATCTATTTATTTATTTAACTGAGAGAGAGAGAGAGAGAGAGAGAGAGAGCACAAGCAGGGGGAGTGGGAGAGGGAGAAGCAGGCTCCCTCACTGAGCAGGGAGCCCCATGTGGGGCTCCATCCCAGGACCCTGGGATCATGACCTGAGCCGAAGGCAGACGCCTAACCGACTGAGCCACCCAGGCGCCCCAAGTGACCCCCCAATCTTACAGGCTTATCGAAATGACAGCATTTATTGTGCTAAATAAATCTAAAATTGTGGAAAATCTTAGCAGAGATAGCTCTTCTTTGCTCCGTTGGGCCTTAGCTGGGGCTGCTCAGAGAACGAGGGAGGCCTGTGATCATTTGAAGGCCTGCTCTTGTGTTGGGCAGTGGATGCTGCCTGTCAGCTGGGATTGTGGATGAAATGCCCATTTGGGGCCTTTCCGTGGGGCTGCTTGCCTTCCTCACAGCATGATGGTGAGTGTACTGGGGATGGGGAGGGGGCAGAGATAGGGAGGGAGGCAGAGGAAAATCTCTTGTCTTTCATGACTTCGTCTAAAAAATTATGTGGTGTTCATTCCACCACATTCTACATTTGAAGCAAGTCACCAAAGGTCGCCCATCTTCAAGCAGAGAAGAAATAGGCCACTTTTTGGATGGAGGAATGTTTTAAAAACGATCACACCACGTTATTCCACATGGCAATTCAAGACTTTTATACTCACAGTACTGGGACTCCGTGGCGCCAGTGTGCAAGCTTTCAGGGTAGGCTTGGGGCAGGTGCCACCCCCTGGGACTAGCTGCTGTAACAGCTGAGGGGTGAGGCACTTTCCTGAGCCAAGCGTGGTTACCTGTCTGCCCCAGTGATGAGGTGGCTACGTCTGCTATGAGGAGATGAGGCGACTGGTGGTGAGCAGATAAAAATGGTAGCCTGGTTCACTTACTGCTTCGCGAGACACACACACACACACAGTCATTAAGAATGGTCAAGAACAACATGGGAATTTCAAAATCAGGGATGTGAAAAATATACGAGAAGATTCACACGGAAGCACACTGCACGGAGTTTATTCATTGAGTCAGGAAACGCTTATGGAATGCCTGCTATTTCCCAGCACTCTGCTGGACGATGGGAAGCCACGGTGAATTAATGCGGTCCCCCCCCTTCCAAAACTGGCTCCCACATATTAGTTGGAGGTTGCCTCTTATTTAGAGATTTTTCCAGGGACTTTTGTCCTAATCTTCCCTAGGGAGCAAAGTATCCTTCGATTTGTCTCTGACCGTGGCAGCATCTGGGGGGGCTTGGTGTGTTCAATTAGGAAAAAGTTCAATCAATCAATTGGTTATTATGGGGCTGAATGGCCCATGTCCTGTCACGGAATTGACTGATTGATGAATTCAACTGGCAGGTTAATTAACCCTTCTATTTCTACACAAAGTGACAGTTAGAAATAATTAGCTCTTACTCAACCCGGGATAGTCAGTACTTAAAAACACCTTCACAGCGCTGTGAATTGTGCAAGACTGTTGAATCACAGATCTGTACCTCTGAAACAAATAATGCAACATATGTCAAGAAAAAAAAAAGAAGAAGAAGAATAGCAGGAGGGGAAGAATGAAGGGGAGTAAGTCGGAGGGGGAGACGAACCATGAGAGACGATGGACTCTGAGAAACAAACTGAGGGTTCTCGAGGGGAGGAGGGTAGGGGGATGGGTTAGCCTGGTGATGGGTATTAAAGAGGGCACGTTCTGCGTGGAGCACTGGGTGTTATGCACAAACAATGAATCATGGAACACTACATCCAAAACTCATGATGTAATGTATGGTGATTAACATAACAATAAAAAATAAAAAAAAACACCTTCACAAGCTGTGAAAGATTTAACAAGTGTTTATTTACATATTTAGTTTTAATTTCCTGTATGTTTTTAGTAGAGATGGAGTTTATATACGACGAGCTGTGAAATGTTTAATAATAACCTCTTCTGGACCTCTGGGTGAGGTCAGCTCAGCAGAAAGAGTGGAGAGTCCCAGGGACCGGGTGAGGGGACTCTGCGTCAGTGTGCGGGGCCCTCTTGTCCTGTCATCTGTCCTTGAACACCAGTTTGCCCCTGGGTAAACTAGGAACAAGGATACCTATCCCTCTGTGTGGGTGGGAGGTTCAAGGTGATAATGGCGTACGTGAGGAGCTTGGTGCACAGGTTTGAAAATGCGGTGCGAAGTGTGGCTTCTTCTGAACAATCTCTGCCAGGAGTTAGCATCAGTACCCTGCAGAGAAATAAGAATGATTTGGCTTCTTATTTTCTGTTTGGCAATAAGAAGCTTATTTGCACAAAGCCTGATTTCTTTCCAGCTGCAAAAAATTCGGAAATGAGGTAAAGCAATACATATTAAAACATGCAAATCATAATGAGGCATTTAAGGCTTGACTACTCTTCACATCTTCCTGAGGCAAACTGTTTTTCTTCTCGGCCGTGAATTTCGTGACCTTGAATCTCGTTCTCTGCCTCATTCTCTATCGCATGACATTGGATGACATTGAGAAAATGAGATTGAAGCTCTGCTTGGGCTTTGAGAAAATTGGGTATGCTGGTTTTGAGGGTGGATGGGAAAAAATGGAAGAGGAGGAAATTGAGACAAATGGAGGGCTAAAGACAAGAGTGAAGAGGAAGCACTGAAGAGAGATTGATTCTGTGCTCCGGCCATTTTTCTGTGGGTCTCTGCTGCTTTGTGACCTGTACCTTCATGGGCAGAGAGGGTTAAGTTTCAATTTCCAGGCAACTATTTAATCCATCCATTTAGAATGGTCATTTACAAACATGGCGTCCATTTCCTCTGCATTAATGGCAATGTTATGGTGCCCCTGCCCCTACTTGGGGCTCTTTGCCCTGGTGATTTGTTATTGGACAGCTAATCAGTTTTCATAAACTGCCCAGGCACTTAATTAAATCTTGCATCCTGTCTAATAAGAAATTGACAGCGAATATACTCCCAACACCTTCTGGATGACAGAGAGTCACACCAGAAGAGAGGCTTGAGTGGCTGTTCCCTCCAGATTTAACAAGCTCTGCGGTCTGTCTGTTGCCCCTGCTTCTGAATGCGCAAGGGCTGGAAAGCATGCTGTGAATATATCAGCAGCTCTGGAGGCCCTGCCTTTTAGAGATGAATCGTGACCCATTTGTTAAAAAAAGTTACATAGGGAAATTTGAATAAGTTTCCTATTAAAACTTGGAAACAAAAATCTTTGTTTACCTTGCAAGGTCTTCAGTTGGAAGGAGGCAGACACTCTGGAGAACCAAAGGGCATCCCATGGGTTCTGAGTAGAAAGCTCTAGCAGCGATTGTTCACCCCGACTTTGGCGCTGATGGCCGTGGGTTGTGACGAGGATCCTTGACACAGTTTTGAACCAGCTCCCTCTGCTGCCCCTGCCGCCCGGGGCCATTAGTGTGAGATCGTGCATTGGCCTTTGGGTCTTGTTTCAACAAGGAAAGACAAGACCAAGTAGGACAAAGTGGCAAAGCACATATTCAGCGTGGGGACTGACTGCTGTTGTAACATAAAGTTCTGTGTGTTCTGTAAGCACATTCATCCCACAATTTTGCCACCTCCATACTTGGTTTGCCTGCTCTTTCTAGCCTGAGAATGGTTTTCAGGGTACCTTTGTTTCCTCAAAGTCAGATCTCTCCATTAATAAGGGAAAGGACTTGCATTTGTGACCTAAATTCTCC